CAATCCAAAACAAAAAAAATAGTTTTGCCTTTAGTTAAACTTTAACTTTTGGAAAAACTGAAAGACTATGAAAGGTGACATAATCAGTCTAAGGCATACTCAACTATCCACAACAAGTATTGAAAGATTAACCTTTACAAAACTAATCACAGCTTGATAAGCAATGGTCCTTGGCCACTTCTCCCTGATATGGATGGGCAGAGCAATCACAAATAAGATCCATTACTGTCTAAAAAAAAGGATTGTCTGTTTACAGGTGCACCACAGAAAAATTCAAGAGAGTATGGGACCACTAATGTCCAAGCAGCTATCTGACTGATAATTATCAACCAGCATGTATATACAAATAGACAGCGCTATACGAACTATCCCTCTATAAGTCAATTTACAATATCAGGTGTGTATGTATCTTTAAGGTGGAACATCGGGAATGCTCGCAGCAGAGTGAGATAGCCGGAGTGAGATCCCAATACAAGTTTAAGCTGTTTATTCTAGTGACGGTGATAACACTGAAAAATGTGTCTTTCTTCTTGGCATATCTGAAATGTTGGTGATTCTGGAGCTTTGAAAAAAAGCCAGTGATCTGACGCTTCATAAGGATAACCCCCAGAGTTATAAATGCACAAGCACTTTATGACACATTTTCACTGTACACACACACCGTATTTATAGAACATACTAATGCACCTGACACTTTAGATTTTTCTTCCGCCTTAAAGATATAGGATGCATACTGTATACACTCGATATTATGAATTGATTTATATAAGGATAGTCCAATAGTGCTGTCTATTTGTATATATAAGATCCATTATTACTCTGCCTATCTGTCTGTTGCAGGATCCCTTCCTGCCTTGCTGTCCCTATAGGTGATACTTAAGATAAATAAATGATTCAGAGTTATTTCAGCTTATATTACCTCATAGCTTCTCAGCCCCTGAAAAAAAAAAAAAATTTTTTTTAATTCTTTATTGATGGCTGCCATGCTGGTTCTGCCCAGAATATGTTCAATGCCCCTGTTATAGGAGCCAAAAAAAGAAATTGGTTTCTGTATATTTTTTGTTTACAGCAAAACAGACTTTCCCCACATTTTAATCAGGACACTTACCCTGATGTGTGTTCAGATCAAATATGCCTGGGTCTAGCAAGTAAGGCAGCATTTTTAATATTTTAATTTTATTTTTATTTATTTAAAGGATAAGATTACCTTTCTGAATATGTTACACCCATATTTAGGGAGGCAACATCCCCCCACACATCCGATCCCCCTCTTCCCCATGACAGTGGGTGTGGATCCTCTCACTGTCATGGGTTGTCAGATTTCAAAAACAGTGCGGCTGCTTCAGGATCTGTGAATGAATGAACTACAAGTACTGTCTTCCATAGTGGCAGACGTCTTGTTGTTCCCAATGAACTGCTTTATTTATAACAGATTTTAGATTTATAACATAAAAAATGCGGCGCTATAGTATAAATGTCCAAAATATCAATATGGCGGTTAAGTGATTAATGTGATCATAAAAATTGTATCACAAGCAAAGTGACATGCGGTGCAAAACCAGTCCTTGTGACAGTTATTATTCTTCAAAGTGCTGCTTCCATGCAGTAAACGTGAAAAGGATAAGGCTGTGCACTCACCAGATGCACAGTGTAACTGCGCATTTAGAGATATATTATCTCCACTAGATCCACAAGTAGCTTCAAGAGGTCAGGTCAGGCCAGATATTCCTCCACCCGCTGGATGTTGCTAGAAATCCACGGTCTCTCTCTTAGGTGGCTCTATAGGTGATAAGTGACTCACCAAGGGCCACAAAGAAAGAAGACCAATAGCATGATACCGTTTTAAAAGATGTTTATTTCATATGCAGTATGGTATAGGTGAGGAAAACAAACAATCACTGACCATGAGGTGAATAGAAAGATGGCCGCCGGGACTCCGTGGTGCCGGCGGCAAAGCAATAGTGACGCTGTAGCTCCTACCCTGACGCGTTTCGTAACCGCACATCATCAAAGCTAACCGACGCGTTTCGTGCTAACCGCACATCATCAAAGGGGATAAGCTTATCCCCTTTAAAGATGTGCGGTTAGCACGAAACGCGTCAGGGTAGGAGCTACAGCGTCACTATTGCTTTGCCGCCGGCACCACGGAGGTCCCGGCGGCCATCTTTCTATTCACCTCATGGTCAGTGATTGTTTGTTTTCCTCACCTATACCATACTGCATATGAAATAAACATCTTTTAAAACGGTACCATGCTATTGGTCTTCTTTCTTTGTGGCCCTTGGTGAGTCACTTATCACCTATAGAGCCACCTAAGAGAAAGACCGTGGATTTCTAGCAACATCCAGCGGGTGGAGGAATATCTGGCCTGACCTGACCTCTTGAAGCTACTTGTGGATCTAGTGGAGATAATATATCTCTAAATGCGCAGTTACACTGTGCATCTGGTGAGTGCACAGCCTTATCCTTTTCACGTTTACTGCATGGAAGCAGCACTTTGAAGAATAATAACTGTCACAAGGACTGGTTTTGCACCGCATGTCACTTTGCTTGTGATACAATTTTTATGATCACATTAATCACTTAACCGCCATATTGATATTTTGGACATTTATACTATAGCGCCGCATTTTTTATGTTATATGGTCTGTAAGGTTCTTTGGTATCCTTTTTGATGCTGTGGCTGCTTTCTTTGTTCTCATAGCGCTCACAACTTCTTTTATACCAGATTTTAGATTTAGATTTAGATTTATAACAGAAAGCTCATACAGAGGTAGGAGCACAAAGCTGTAGACAGTGTCTGCAGGTGCCTGACACTGCACTTGTGATCTGCTGATCACAGGTGCAATGCTCTGCTGGCTCCTGAGAAAAAAACAAACATTTTGTATCTGCAAAAACATGTGCATTTATTTATTTGTAAAAGGTGCACTTAGCCTTTAGGCTTATGGTGGGCAATGTAAATCCATCCTGAGGTTTTTCTGATGTAGAACAGATAGCTTTGGCTGCCATTCATGCCACTGGTGTCTTCTTCTGTTGTTTCACTCTTTGGAGTTGATTTCCTAAAGGCAAATAGTCTGTTCAATTTGCAAGGACATTTTACTCAGCAAGGGCTTTTTCCCTTAGCTTGGTGAATAAGGTGAAGCTCAGCTGATTTCCATCATCTAATCATGTGCAACTGTTTTTTTCTTAATTTTTTTTGCATGTGATTGGGTATTTATTGCAAAGTAAATGTTCACCCTATTGATTAAGCTAAGGGAAAATGTATTTTTGTTTGTAGTAAATCAACCCCAATAACTAAGTGTCCCAAGCAGATTTTTTTTTTTTTTTAAGATATTTGGCTAATACTAAAGCTGGCCATACATGGGCTTACATGGCTTTCAGTATAACTAGTTTAACAAAAAAAAACCTGAACAGATTCTCCCATCCACACATTTGAATTGGATGGAGATAACTACAGTGGCCATGCATGGATTGAAATTCAGCCGGTCCCTGCTGAACCGTCTGAATTTTGATTTGATTATGGCCACCTTTAAGCTCTAGAGATAGCAGGCTACAAATATGTAAACTGCTTTATTAATTAAATGACTCTAAAGCTATTCAGATTTTGTAAGTCAAATTGTGGGCCACATGATATGCACCCTTAATTGATATTACCTTCTGAGGTGCATACAGCTCTGTCTAGTTACTGATGCAGACAGGCTTTCCAATGCTTTATTCTGTTGTCAGTTAGTTAGGTTTCATGCGTTAGTGGCTAAATGTTGTGATTGCTTTTCACTACCTCTAGGGCTGGTGGAGAATCCCTATGTGTTACAACATTGATAAGTCTAAAATAAATGTCTACCTTTAGTTTCAAATTGAAAAGTCTTCTATACAGCCACCCCTAAGGATATGTATGAGAACATCTCAGCTACAGGACATATTTGAACAAGGTATGGTTAAGTATCATAACAACAATCCATGACAGACAACACAAACATTGATATGTGTTATTTTAACCTCTTTTACTTTTCAAATATATATTGCTTATTCTTACCCTTTTCAGTCTATCTTCTCTTATGGGTGGAATTCAAATGAAGAAAACAATCATTACGCAAACACTTAAATTCAAATCACAAGATCATTTTAATGTTTATCACTATTCCAGAGGAAATAAAAACGACCAATAAAGAAACAAAAGTTCTAGATTATGTTTGAAAGTGTGGCTACTTTTCTGAAAAAAAGATTTATGATTTATGGATGCAAAAGACTGAAGAATATAGTCTTGAAATTTAGACTTTACATCAGCTTCAGATATAATTTATAGCTTCAAACATTGATAAACGTTAATAAAAGCAACTGGAGCTGTTGCATCATCGGAAAATGTGATTTTATCCCCCTTTATTCAATATAAGCAAAATATCTATGATATATCTTAAAAATGACATTTTCAATTTGTTTGGATGAAGCTGGATTTCTCATAGTTGGTATAGATTATTGTCTGATAGATATAAATGCTATTTCACGTACTTCCATTAGCCATCTTTACTTTAGTTTTTTTCTACATCAACATAAAAAAATCTTAAATAGATGTCTTCAAAAACCCTGGTAACATTCACAATTTTATTAAGCATATCATCTGTAAAAGCAAAGCTTCAATGGACACTCGGCCTCATTTTTGATAGATATATATATATATACTTTTATATATATATACACATATGTATAGATATAAATAGCTATTCAGCATGCAAACATTTTAGTGATTCCATCATTGTATCTTTTTTTCTTAATCCTACAAATATCTGCTATGGCACCTGTTTTGATAAACTCAATGTTGCATACATGGTAGACACAAGCCATCATGGTGGATAATTTTACCCTGTATAGTATTCCTTTGGAATCATGGAAGAAGAGTTTACTTAAGTGCAGGATACTCACAGGTGTTAACACAACATAGAATAGATTGTCTTGGTCAATAGAACATGACTGGAGATTGATTATTCAGTCTGTTGCAGCTGCAGTCATCCATCGGTCCAGTTTTCCACAGTCCCCATGCCTGAATGATACTGTAGGGATGATTCTCTAGATAAAGAAAAGCTTTGAGAATATAAAAACTCATTGGCTGTGTTTATGTGAGGGGATGGAGGTTTTCTTTCACACAGAGAAGGGTGAACTCTCTCTCTAGGAAAAGATGAAGTGGGAACTCTCTCCCGTACCTGAGACTGTGAAAGTTGATTGTAGACACTAAAGTGAGATTCGCTTGGAGGCTGCGATCCTTGGCTTGCAATTGTTGGGAGGCGAGGCATCATGGTGGTGGTGGAAAAGTGAGTTGGAAAAGGCTGGTATGGTACAGTTTCCATTGTTTGGACACTATAACTTGTATAAGGCGCAACAGAAGTCCACATATTACAGCTTAACGGTGGGGGTGGTGGAGGTAATTCATCAACACTTGATACTCCGCCAATTTCTGGTCCTGATGTAGAGTACATGCATGCTTCTCTGGGTGTCACATCATTACGATAAGGTGGGCTCAACATCTGTTGGTCATACGGTGGAGGGGATCGAAAGTAGTGATCGTCTGTCATAGAAGAAGAGGGATCTAGGTAAGATCTCTTGCAAGGAAGCTCAAGGTGGCGTGCACCCTCTGCAAAAGAAAGAACTAAGCATTTAGAGAAGTGCTTAACGCATGCCATGAAACTTCCTGATTCATTTGGAAACCTATATATGACTCAGTATCATTCATCAAAATGATATTGGGGGTGGTAGTACTACTTCAACGTAATGATTCTATAAGCACAATGTGAGACATTTATCAAAACTACCTTCTCCTCTTCAGTGGCTAATCTGCTGCTTTTTTTATTTTTAATGCAAGATAGGGACAGATATAATTTCTGTACACAATTTACTTAATTAATTAGCCACTTTTAAAAAAGAACATGTCAGCATGTATTTAAAAAGTGCTTTTTAGCACTTCTAGGTTGTACATCAGTTATGAAGTTGAGTTACTGTGCTAAACATGTGCTCACAGTTGCTGCACAACAGAGGATATGGCTGTACAATTGCTTTTTGACACTATTACACAAAAAACTAAATTGGTAATTTTGGTCATAAAACAGGTCCTAAGATTAATGATAATATTTTAAAATGCAAATTGTAAATTGTTTGATATGCAATCATGTAAAAAAATGCCCTCCAATGTATTTTAATGAAAAAAAAAAAACACCTTATGGAAAGAGAGCGGAATTGATTCACCACGGCTTGTCAAATTTGCCTTCTATTATTCTAACATTATGCATTTTATGGTATATAGTGATGGAAGGAGTGCACTGTCTAACAAGTTGCCCATTTTCACACTACAAATAATTTGCTTATCCATTTGATTTTGGTTATCTACAGTGGTTGTTTATCTCTCATAAAGCACTTTCAAAAGTAAAAAGTCATACTAGGATTCAGGGTAGATGAATCATTAAAAAAAGAATCTGGAACTCTAATATCTAAAACAAATGTTCAGTTGTATTCTATTATTCAAAATAGGTGGCTGGACTAGGGATGACTTATAGTGGGCCATGATAATGAATTATACAGGGTGTTCAGATAAGCTGAAATCACAGTTTATCTTTACTGTAGACAGCAGTATAGGCTTTCCACTGCCATTAATTTTGGGGCCAGTTAAAAGTGATGATTATTTTCTTTAATAAATCCAGTGGTGTCTTTGTTTGCTCTGGTGGTTCTGTAACAGCCCACTCATTCATTTCTATAAAATTATTAATAGTACTAACAGCCATAAATAAATGCTATCAAGTAATTTATTGTTAATATTATTATTATACGCAGCAAATTGAATTTTCCTTAACCTGTAATACTTAAACAGACTTTTGTTGTTAGTATACTCTAAAGGAGACCTATTTTGATAAGTTGTACTGTTTTTATTATGCATCTTACTAGTAAAAATGATCAAATATTTTACTGATGGAATTTATATAAAATAGCTCTGCAAATTACTAAAAACTCAAATGTTGAGGCACTGTTAACCAAAAACCAGGGTCTTTGTAACAAACAGTTGTGAAGAAGGGTGTTTCTGTGCCTCTGGTCAGATCTGCAAAAACTATTCTGCTGAAAAATTCTATTAAACAATGTAAGGTATAATATAACAATATATAACAATAAAAAAGGCACTGCAAATATAAGATGTGTGTTATATGAAATAAACACCACTGTAAAAAACCAAAGTGACCAGGTGTATGACAAACAAAGATTAGTCCATCCTGCCACAGTTCTAAATAAACTTGAAAGTTCAGACTTTCCACCGCAATTGAAAAATGTTTCAGTGCTCAAATAAACATTAATATTTTGGGGGTATTGTAAGTCTGTAGTGCTGAGTTGGGTAACCATATTAATGTAAAACATAAATATTCAGTTCACCAAAGTGTGCATGTTTATGCCTGTGGAGGAAGGGAAGAGAAGAAGCACTACTAGACACTTGTGGAACCAACTCATCTTGAAAGAAAATAACAAAATGTAGCTCAGCTAAACAAATTGCCTATAAGAACAGTCAACCAGAGGTTATCTGAGGAAGTTGTAGAGTGCCCAAAGATATTTTTGGGTGATGATCATCTAATGTCTATGTCATATTAAAATAAATGTGTAAAATTGAGAAATATAGGCTTAAGGCTCTTAAGTTATATGCAAATTTTGACATTTCTTGTAACAGTTAAGCTTGGCCTCACCCCCAAGCTGTACTATTTGCCCATAATGGATAGCCTCACATGTCAATATTATTATTATAATACAGGATTTATTTAGCACCAATAGTTTGAGCAGTGCTTTACAAAATAAAGGCAGGCAGACAGTACAGTTACAATACAATTTAATACAAGAGGAATCATTACAAGAGTACTCATTAGCACTTACAATCTAAGATGGAAGATCAAGTGACTCAAGTAATAACTATAGGGGATGAGCTAGTAGAGAAAGCAAAACTACAGTTTGTTAGAGCCAGGATAGGTTTCTCTAAAGAGAGGGTTTTCAGGGATTGTCAAAGGGTGAATAGAGTAGAAGAGAGTCAGACAGATTGGGGTAAAGAGTTCCAGAGGAAGGGAGAGGCTCTGGAGAAGTCCTAGAAGTAAGCATGGAAGAAGGTTGCTAGAGAGCAGGAGGTCTTGTGAAGGCAGAAGAGAATGTTTGGTTCGTATTTTAAGACAAGGTTAGTGATGTATCCAGGGGCAAAGTTGTGGATGGCTTTGTAGGTTGTTATTAGTATCTTGAATTTTATTCAGTGGGTGAGCGAAAGCCAATGGAGGGATCAGCAGAGAAGGTTAGCAGACACTGAATTGTTGGAAAGGTTGATGAGTCTGGCAGCTGCATTTATGATGGACTGCAGGAGGGATAGCCTATGTAGAGATAAGGCAATAAGGAGAGAGTTGCAATAGAGTCTACCAGGAAGTGAATTAGAAACTTTGTGGTGTCGTTAAGAAGGAGCATATTTTGGAAATGTTGCATAGGTTGAGGTGGCAAGATTTGATCAGTGGTTGGCATTGGGACTGAAAGGAAAGTTCAGAATCCAGGGCTACACCTAGAACCCTGGTATGTGGGGATGGACCGAAAGTTATGCCATTAATCTCAACAGAGAAGTCATGGGAAAGGGCATGTGGGGGAGGAAATATTATGATTTGGATAGATATATTCATATTGATATGTCTGTTAGTAAATTAGAGATGCGTGAGAAGACTGATGGGGTGAGCTGAGGGGTAGCTAGATAGATTTTGGTGTCATCAGCATAGAAATGGTATTGGAAGCCATGGGAGGCTAGCAGATGAACCAGGGAGGAAGTGTTGATTGAGAATAAGAGAGGTCTAAGGACAAAACTTTGGGAGACTCCAAACAGAAAAGGATCAGGAGGGGAGGAGGTGGAGTTGTAAGTGACATTGAAGGTGTGGTGGTGCCGATAGATAAGATGAGAACCAGCAAAGTGTACAAATTGACTTTTTTTGAGGAGGGGTGGTCAGCTGTATCAAAGGCAGAAGATAGGTCCAAGAGTAAGAGTATAAAATAGTGACCATTGGTTTTTAGCCATTAGTAAGTCATTTTTGAGCTTTAGGAGAGCAGTTACTGTAGAGTATTGCAGGCGAAATCCAAACTGAAAGAGATCAAGGTTATTCTCAGTGAGGTTGCAGCTCAGGTGGTTGTAGACTAGGTGGTCAAGGGATTTAGAGGTAAAAAAGATCAAGAAGATGGGTCTTAGGTTGTTAACATTGGTGGGATACAGTGTGGGATTAAGAATGGGGGTGACCAGTGCATGTTTTCAAGGGTTGGGAAATATGCCAGTCGAGAGGGAAAGATTGAAGATATGAGTTAGAGTGTAGGATAGAGCACCAGTGTGACTGTAGTATTTGTAAGTGACTTCTTCTGTAGTAGCAGGGTTACATGAAGGAAGTACTTAATGTGCAGGTGGACATGGACATGCAATACAAAGACTGTGGTGGCAGGGGAGGACATTCAACTTTTACAAGAAAAGTCAAGGTTTATTAATTTAGCTGCCTATATCTCTGGATCTACTGGAGGTTTGATATAATGTCTTCACTAAAGGTTTGCTTTCTTAATTATTATGCTTATATATCTCAGGTCGAATTTCTTTTTTTTTGGCAGGTTATATTTATTGTTGCCTAAACCCTATGCACATTTGTGACAATTAGGTGGCTTTTAATCAATTCTCATCCTCAAATGCTTCCTAGTTTTCAGAAAATGAATGATCTAAAATTAAGTAAAAAGTGAAAAGTAAATTAATGTTTATATATAAGACCTGGTTGAAAGCAACAATGCTGGCCATATACACTGTGATTCATAGAATTTCAGCAAATTTTAATCAAGTTTTAGTTATTGTATCTATCAAAGGCTAAAAAGTTAAAAGTGACTGAAACTTCCAAGAAGTAGGTATCTGGCCAGGATAAGGCTTGCAGTTTATTATTCTTTATAATGTCTCCTGTAGAACGTGCCATTGATTGAAGATATAAAAACTGAGAAGAGAAGTAATCAATTAAATTCTAGCCAAATATAGTTTAACAGTACCTCTTCTTTTTAAACAGTGATAGAACAACCCAGAATCTCTTTGTGCTGTGAAAGTGTTGAGTGGCAGATCCTGAGCATCAGTTGCAGTAAATTGTATGTGTGCCCCATTCTCATATTGATAATGTTGAAGGCCTTGGTGGCTACTATGTAGTGCATTAAGGTCTGATTTGCTCGGCAACTGTCCTGGATGACTTGATACCAATCGTTGTCTCATGATGCTTTTTGAAATCACAGGATATTCTTTGCTGTAAAAAAAATAATAGTAATTTTAAGATATTAAAGCTTAGTCCAAACGTACAAGCAATGCTTTGATTGTGTTTTGGCCACAATATGATTAGCAGAACAAATGAAAGATGACAAACGTAAAATAGGCTGGGACAAGTTCACCCTATTTATTAACATTCACTTTGCAAAAGCAAATATACATATTGCAAAGTGAACATTCACTGACTGAAAAGATAGTATTCTTTTAGTGGTTCCGTTGAGTAGATCACACTTTTTTTTTTAAAGAAAGCGTATAGCAAAAGCAGCTTTCTTTTCAATGCTTCTGAAGTTGTTTACTAAACGACTTGAAAACATTCACTCAATTGTAGCAATGTTCGCTTTAAATACATGGATAATGAAGTGAATATACTCATTTTACTGAGTAAAGATCCCCTACTACCTTTCTAAATCAACCTTTCTGTCTCTGATTACATTTCGGAAAAAGCTGACCAGAGGGGGAAACAAGGGGAACAAATCACTGCTATCATTCATTTACTTGTGTGTAAGTTTCAGCTTGAGTTATTGAGCACAGTAAATAATAGACCTTTTACAAAAGAAAGTAGGGAAAAACTGGAAAAAATGTTTTGTATTTCATATTTACCTACCTAAATAAAATATTTTTTTATAGTATCTAGTTTCTATTTTTTAGTTATGGCTATAAAAACAAAGAAAATATGTGCAAAACCACTTTACCTTTCCTTTAATTAGTGCACACATTACGATAATTGTAATTGCTATTTTGAGTGTAACTTCTTACTAAAAAAGTAACCAGGCATTCTAGCATTTAAAAAAAAAAATATTTAATGCTGTAGTGATATTTTATAGTTTTCTCATAAACTATGCACATTTAGGCTTAATACTACAAAGGCTAGAATAGGAAATAAATATTAGCATTTAATATTTAATTTGATTTAATCATTCCACTTATAAAATCAATAGCTACATTTATATAGTTTTTTTCCTTTATGATATTTAAGATCTATTATATCGGTAATTAATCACACATCTAAAAACTTGAAGCTTTATTATGCCACTTAAAAACAGTATAAACATTTAATAAATGTTCACACCATACCTTGCACATTTATTTAAATTGCTTATGAAACTGATCTTGACAATACACTATATCACATTGTCTGCAGTGCATAGCTGTATTTACCTATGTAAATGCACATGCTCAGGAATGCACAAGCAAGAAAACTTCATTTGGCTGAAGGGGAGTTTAAATATCACTAACCCTTGTTGACACTTTGTAAATCAGATCCAGGCTGTGCAATAACAATATATTTGATCGGTCTGGGCGAAGTATGGGACAGTGTATGTAATTCTGTTTTTTTAAAATGCTACATTCAAAATAAACTATGTACTTTACCATAAGGCACAGTCTAACAGTTCTGCATTACATCATAAATACATTGAGGCTAATTTACTAAAGGAGTTGAGGATTTTCAGTTATTAAATTGAGTTAATATTCACTTAAATTATCCAATCATATAAAAAGCAAATTCTTATTTATCTATTTTTTCTGTACATGACAGGGTATTTAGAGTGAATACAGCTACAATTTGCTGAGTAAAGATTATCAACTCCTTTAGTTAATCAGTCTCACTATCTGTGTTTTTGAACAACAATTTCTTATAAATATAATATAAATGTATACGTCATTTGAATGATTCATTATTAACTTAATGAGCTTCTTTTTTGCTCCATTTTAACCTGTTAAATAGTCCCTTGAAAGTGTTTTCTTACATCTGTTTGACAAGTGCAGAAAATACTGGTTGATCCTGCCAGAAATCCTGTGAGTTGATAACTTCTCGTGCTCTATCCTCTGCTGAATTATAAGTTAGCATTGTTCCCAGCTCTCCCTGTGGACTACAGAACACATCCAACCTTTGTTATGGAGAAGAGGGTAAAACACTAAATATCACATATTTTGGATGTGTAACACAACACAAAAAAAGCCCTCAGCTTCATACAATTTGGGCATTGGTACAACAGCTCAGAGACCCAATGATCTTTTAAGGACTTCCTTGCTGTATGTTAGCAACAACTATAGCTGCTGTTTAGCTGTTACTCCACCCTGGTGTTGATTTATTGGTATCTTTTTATTATCTTTTATTTCTTCTTTATCCTTATTGTTATATTTTCTGCTATGCTAAAAAAAATGGGTTGGGATTTCGTTTTTGAGGGTTTATTTTTTGCGGAGAGGTATATTTTGTTTTGCTAGGCCTTTTTTTATTTTAGAATGCACAGTGTAAACTTGTTGCTGTCACAGAAAAATCTGCCCCTTGTTTGCAGCCCACCACCACGTACTTGTGCAATACTGTAATCTTCACCACGTTACAACATAATCATTCCCTCTGGTGCCATACCCACGATCTTCCAGTTCCCAATCTTTTATATTATAAAAGGTAGCTAAGGTAGTAAGGAGTCAGCAGGTTCTGCTGGACAAAGCAATGGTTGAGCCACAACATCTTGAGGCATATCAAGCATGTTTTTTCTGTCACAGGTTGGCCATGCTATACCTGCATAAGCAGGAGGTAGCTGAATGAATGACAAGCCTTTTTCTACTTCTTCCTCCCAGGCACAGAGCAGCCTGTTGCCTAAAGCTGCTGCCAATGCACCTTTATTTCCTTCCTTCTCTTCTTCTGCTAATTCCACCAAAGTTCTGCAAACTGGCAATAGGAATTGAGCTAAATTATTTGAACACATGATCACTGACTTTCTGCAGGAGGATGATCTCTCCTTTCAGATACTGAAAATGAAGAAGATAATTCCATGATCATAAAGGGAGGAGATAAGAGGTCAGGAGCATCAAAAATCAGTGATGTTCCAGCAGCTGTAGCTTACTGAACAGTGGGTTCCAGTGCTGAGGAGGAGGTGGCTTATTGAATGGCATAATTGTCCATCAGTGTATTTTGGAGAGGAGGAGACTTCTAAGGGAGAAGCAGAACAGTGACAAGGGAGGATTTTGTGCAGGGGCAGTGAAAGTTTGCTTAGGACTGAAAATCACCCCCATGCCCAATGTCTTAATGCCAGCTTGGCAAAACTGCTGGCTTTGCAGCTGCTCAAATTTCAGATGATTGCTTCAGCTATTCAACTTTCCAAGTGCATTATATCCTTTCACTCCTATTTATATATATGATCACCCCATATTTTCCATCCACTGGTTTCCACTTGCTTTAATCCCTCAACTGCTAGTGTACTAGCCTCAATATTATCTACCACAAAAAAAAAGTGCTTCGCATTAACAACCTGTTCCTATCTAATTGTACAGGATTTAATCCAGCCAGTTACACCACAGTTTTGTAAATTTATCTGGGCAACCCCTATGTTAACCCCTTGACGCCGTCGTAACACAAATATGCGGCCTCACGGACCTGGGCTTTTTTCCGTGGGGCCGCATATTTGCGTACCTGTCTTTGTGCTGGGAGCGCGCCGAGCGGCGCGCTCCCAGCACCAAGACCGCGGTGTCACTGAGAGCCCCGGGTCCCGTTCTAACGATCGGGACCCGGGACTGCCAATTCCGGGTCACGTGATCGCTGTGATAGCCTCTGATTGGCTATCACAGTGATCACTCACTGTGCAGCCCGGACCCCTTGTTTTCTCTCTCTCTCTATGAATGGAGAAGAGAGATACATTGTATCTCTCGAACTCCTGACATAGAGAGATAAAAAAAAAGTTTGTAAAAAAAAAAAAAAAAGATAAATAAATATTAAAAAATAAAAGAAAAAATAAAGAAAAATACCTAGATCAAGGTTTGATCTAGTTCAGTACCAGGGTTAGTGTTTGGGTCAAGGTCAGGGTCAAAGGTCAGGGTCAAAGGTCAGGGTTTAAAAAAAAATTGGTATCAGTGTCAGTTAGTGTTAATGTCAATGTCAGTGACAGTGTGTTTTATATAAAAAAAAAAGACAAAAACAAAATGCGCACTATTGTTTCTGGACTGTACTACGGGTACAAACAACAAATAACATACACATATATGGTATCGCTGCGATCGTCAAGAACTGGAGAATGTATTTTGGGTTGTTCTTTGGTGGTAGGTTATGATCGTAACAAGAAACACACAGTTAAATTTAAAAAAATTATTTTTTTTTTTTACTATTTTGGCCCAGTTTTCCTTTAATAATAAAAAAAAAATTAGGAGCTATCCATGACCATTTACCACCAAATGAAAGCCCAATTTGTCCTGAAAAAAACAAGGTATAATCCACCTGGATGTACAAAGTAGTTGTGACGATATGTACGGTTTCACTAACACGTCAACGTTGCAGAATTGTGCTTAGGCATTTAGATTTGTTTTACCCTTAGGCGTGAAGGGGTTAATAAACCATGTATCCTCTTTGTAAGACTTTATTAACTGTTTTTACCCATAAAGAGTGAGTTGGGGGAGCCATGCAGATCCATTTCTTGCTATAAATAGCAGACAATGGATCTCCATAGAGGTCTGGGGAGTATATACTTCTGTATACAGCCACCCCAATACACATATTTTGGATTCCATCTTAATGTTAACATCATTATTAGTGTCCAGTACACAAGCCCAGTATCTAGCCAAGTTAGGACGTCTCCACATCATATGTTCCAGCGTCCAGATAACTCTCTCATATTGTGGACATAGAGGAGTATCCCTCTTATGCCACTTAAAAAGTTTCTGGGGGGTATGATATATCCGATGTATAATGAACAAAAGTCTCTGAGACGCAGAAAGGGATACCTGTTCTACATTATAAAGCATATCAGACCACTCCTCATCATTCAGGGGGCCAATATCCATTTACCAATACGATCTACAACTCAGAAATTTGATTTTGACCTTCTTTGTAACAATGCATTATAAAGCCGTGTTATCTGTCCCTCTTAGATGTCGCTGCTGACTTTGGTTAATAATTGTGGGTGTTACATAGACCCAAGGCATCTGTCTAGACTGGATTTGGATAGCATGCCTAAGTTGCAAATATTGGAAAAACTTTTGGTAGGC